CCCCAAAACCCCAAAACCCCAAAACCCCTAATAGCAGCCAAGTCTTGAGTTTTAATATTAGATTTCTACAAGATGGAAGAAGAATCCAAAACAGCCAATTTACAACATTGTGACAATTTAAATAATTCTACCACCAACAACCAGAATCTAAGCCAGGATGATAAAAGCTTTGAAGATTGAGCATTTGCTGGTGAAGAAGAAGAACTCTTGGACACATCTCCTCCTTGCTTTGAAAAGTGCAAGAAACATAGAGAAGCGTGGAAAGTCAAAAACTTGGCTTTATTAAGCGCGAATGAAGATTGGAGTAGCATTGAAAAGTTCTGCCAATGATGTCACTTGCCCTTATACAATGCTGCAAAGCCATTTCAGTTTTGTACAAGCAATACAAACCTTGGCATTCTCGGATTGGGATTTACTCTATTCTACAAGCTGAAGATATTTCATTGCTGAATCTATATCGCCTTATGAGTGGTAGCTATTGTGATTTCAACACTATATCTAAGTCAACAAGAATCTGCAAGTGATTATAATTCTTCTAAAGAGGTCTCCTATCTTGCATATACTAGCTTAGGAAGCTATGGTAAAAGTATTCAGAGCTCTGAAAAAGAACAAATTGAAATGATTAGATTCATTTACCTTGCCTGCCTTGTGTCAATTGTCTTTGGAACTCTGATCTTCGAATGTTGCCAAGTCAAGTTCATCAAGTACAGTGAGAGGGAGTACACTAAAGCTTCTGATTTCGCAGTAATCGCTTCGAACATCCCTGTTTCGAAAACTGAGCAGCAAATAAAAGAGTGGTTTAAACAAAACAATGATGATGGCGAGCCACAATATGTCAGCTTATGATATGATATTAAAGAAACTACACTGAAGGGACAGAAAATAGAAAAACTGAAGAACAAGAGAGCATCCTTAAGATCCTATCTTAAGGAGCTGGAAGACCCTGCTTACCTCAGAAATTATACTATATGGGCTTTCTCCGAATACATAAAATCAGTAAGATTATCCAAATATCGTAAGTAAAAAGAAGTCATATTTTGTTTAAAATCGATGAAATTCTAACCTCCAAATAGACCAAGTCGAAGAAGAAATCAAAGCTCTTGATTTTCAAATAACTGAGCTTGAAAGAGAAGTTCAAAAAGCAGGAGACGATTTCAGCTTCTGCGGCACAGCATTCATCATCTATGATAACTCAGAAGATGCTTTTAAAATTAGAGAAAAGTTTGAAATTTCTTATCTGAGAAGATCCATAAACTTTGTCTTGAAATAAGGTCTGAAAATGAAAGAAGTTTACTAAAAACGACAATTATACTTGGGACGATAGTAGAATATTTATCGACAAACCTGCTGAACCAAATAACTATATTTGGGAGAACCTCTCTGCTAAGATGAAATACAGAGTCTTGAAAACATTTATTACGTTTTTGAAAGCTTTGGGCTTCCTATTCATTGCTTTTTCAATCAATTATGTCTTAAATTTGATAAGAGATCAATTTTCAGAGAATGATGAATCTAACGTCTTATCTCAAATGATTAGATATCTGATCACCTTTATCACAATGCTATTCGTCTCATGAACCAATATAGCTCTTGGAAAATTGATAAGATCTATATCTAATGCTGAAAAACATCATAACTATTCAACATACCATCTCTCGGTTTCAATCAAACTGACATTTGCCACATTTATTAACACGGGAATTTCTCCTTTGATTGTTAACTTTGGAACGAGCAATTGGTTCCATTCCAACGGCCTCGCAGTGGATGTGTTCTGGAATACATTTTCTGTTTGCTTCATTGGTCCTTTACTATACCTCTTTGACCCTGCTTATCTGTACAAGCTTTATAAGATTAGATCTGAAAAGAAAAAGGGAGCCCAATCAATATTAACTCAAAGACAAGCAAATCTATTATTTGAAGGACCTCAAGTTGATATGGCTCAGCGGTATTCTAATTCAATGCTTTTACTATCATTGGCAATGATGTACTCTTATTTGTTCCCAATCATACCTGTGTTAGCGTTATTTGGAGTTATTTTCCAATACCAAATAGAGAAATATCTTCTCCTAAACAGACACAAACTGCCTGTTCAAATCGGCTCAACACTCTCTAAGTTTTACGTTGGATTCATGCCCATAATGATCTGAGTATTCGGACTCTCAATTTACATGTTTGCTAAAACTTTGTTTAAACAGCACTATATTGAATTCCCCATAATATCAGGAGTGTTAGTGATATATTACCTCTCTCCATTGCCAAGATGGATGAAGAGAACGATTCAGAAATGAAACAAACACACCAAGAAGAGCTACAAAGAGACTAAGTTGAGCCTATTCCATGACTACAATAGAGCAAACCCTGTGACCAGAAGAAATGCTGTACAGGCGTTCCTTCAACTCAAGCAACAAGAACTTAGCAAGAATGCTAGAGATGGTTATGACAAGATGAACACTTCGACTGATACTTTCATTCAAATCCAAACCTTTAAAATGAAAACTATCAACACTCGTAGTAAACTCGACGACGTTCTTAACTATAAAACCAGAAAATCTGTGATGGACGGATGGCTATATTCAGTTCCTGAATACGACTTTAAGTTTTTGGAGTATTTATATTCAAAATCAATAGTTTTACTACCCAAACTTCAAATCGAGGAAAAGGATAAAAAAGCTCATGAAGAAGAAAAGATCCCAAACAAAGGCTCAGATGATCTTAGACTAGAGGATATTGATGAAGAAGAAATTAAGGTAAATTATTGAATTAAACCTTTAAAAGAACTTCACTCAAATGGATACTACAATTGAGTAATCCAACTGTGAAGTTTGCCTACTTATTTAAAACTTTTAACCTAACGAAACATTTTGACCCCTGAAGAATTTACTTTGCTCGATTAAAATTAAATAGAAAAATACAAGAGCTGGAATAAATAATCCACCCAACTTTGCCGAGAACATGCCCACATATGTCTCAATTAATTCAAGCAAAAATGTCAGAGAGCAAGAATTTCAAGGAAATTTGTACACTCATGGAGAAGATCCTTAATTAGGAGCTTAATTACTAATAGTTGATCATTAATATTTGGACACTAAGTTTCAATCTGTTAAGAAACTATTGGGGTTTTGGGGTTTTGGGGTTTTGGGGTTTTGGGGTTTTGGGGTTTTGGGG